AGAGGACACTTTCCAAAGTACTTTAAAAAACGGAACTCCACGAATACGTAACCTTGACAACCGGTTTCAGAAGTTTAGTTTTGACGAAGACTACCAGAGAAGAATTGAAGAGAACATCAATGAAATTCAGAAAAACAGAGATTTGACTAAATCGGAAGGAGTAACTAGAAAAAACTACTCAGGACCTTTTCGTAGAGACGCTAGAGAATCGCAGAGTTTTAGAGAATCAAATACATATCATCACAGACCGTTTCACGTGAACGCCTCTTCACAATACTTCGAGACTTCCTACGTTTACTACAAAGACCGCACCTTACAGGATCGTTCTTTAAACCCTGACGAAATCCATTTTTTCGAACGACCCCGTATACTGTCATTCAGTGACGTTCAGCAGGACGTTCCGAGAAAAACGAGTCGCAGTATCAGGGAACGCAACAGGCGTCGACAGTCTTACAATCCCCAAGCGTACGAGTCTAGTTCTAGCGAATCGGATTGTATCTCTGTGGGTTCGGTGGATTTTGATTGGCGCAGGCGTAAAAGATTGTCGAAATTTTCGGGTTCGAACGCTAGTATAAGGTCGGAGATGGTTAATAAGTCGACCAATCCCTTTTTGAAGCCTCAGTTCAGTTTGAAGTTCATGGGAAGGTCTCCGCCACCTTCGAATAGTATTTTGAGTGGGTTGAGTCCCACTTCTGTGTCAAGGTGTAAGAAATTGTCTGATAGTACCACCAGTGATTCCAGTATATAATTAAGAAGTTTTTTTGGTACAAAAAAGTGATAGTTTGGATTCAAATGATTTCAGTTCTTGATGTCCTACGTTTTTTAACTACCAAACATTCTGTAATCGAATATAGAGAATCTTGAAGACACAAAAATGACATTTGTTTCTTGAAAATTTTCTCGTCTGACGAATGAAATTTATAGCTCTCTGAAAAATAGTATGAACTTTTAAATTATAACATTATTAAATACCGGAGAATCCCAGAGCTTCAAACACATATCATCACAGACCGTTTCACGTGAAAGCTTCTTCACAATACTTCGAGACTTCCTACGTTTACTACAAAGACCGCACCTTACAGGACCGTTCTTTAAATCCTGACGAAATCCATTTTTTCGAACGACCCCGGATACTGTCATTCGGTGACGTTCAGCAGGACGTTCCGAGAAAAACGAGTCGCAGTATCAGGGAACGCAACAGGCGTCGACAGTCTTATAATCCCCAAGCGTACGAGTCTAGTTCTAGCGAATCGGATTGTATCTCTGTGGGTTCGGTGGATTTTGATTGGCGCAGGCGTAAAAGATTGTCGAAATTTCGGGTTCGAACGCTAGTATAAGGTCGGAGATGGTTAATAAGTCGACCAATCCCTTTTTGAAGCCTCAGTTCAGTTTGAAATTTATGGGGACGTCTCCACCACCTTCGAGTAGTATTTTGAGTGGGTTGAGTCCCACTTCTGTGTCGAGGTGTAAGAAATTGTCTGATAGTACCACCAGTCATTCCAGTATATAATTAAGGTTTTTTTTGGTACAAAAAAGTGATAGTTTGGATTCAAATGACCTCAGTTCTTGATATCCTACGTTTTTTAACTACCAAACATTCTGTAATCGAATATAGAGATTCCTGAAAGCGTTTACTTACAGATAACATCTAATTTTTAGGTTATACCATGTTGCGACAGCGTTTTCTGAATTTTGACGTCTTGCGAATACAACTTTCTAACCTCTCAAAGTTATTATGACATTATTATGCCAGTTATTATAAGTTTCTGACACTGAATGTAATTTGGGAAAGAAAATAAACACGTGATTAGTTTATAAAAATAATTATGATTGTGGAAGTTGCATTGTTATTAAATTAAAAGAGAGTCATTTTATTTTAAAAAAATATCTATGAGAATGTTTTTTTTTAAATCGATAATTTGTTGACTAAAAATAATCGATATATTTTAAACAGTATCGATACTTTGATTTGTCGATATATCTACACGTCTCTACTTTAGACCGAATGACTCAAATAGTACCACCAGCATTGTGAGTCCCAATTTAATTAAGGAAACTTTTCTTTTGAAGAAAAAAAATTTTCGCTGTAGAAATTACAACAGTTATGCTACTAAATCTCATAAGTAGGTATTCTAATCTTTATTACAATATATAATATACTATTAAAAATAAAAAAAATACTCTATGCTTCTCTTGTTCTTATGAATATACAGAGTATAAATAAATAAGTGAGATTTGGTTTTAAAAAATTACTTTGTAGGCAAACGCGAAATTTAAAAATTTTATACAAAAAAACCTTATTTTACTAATTTTTTGCATTTATTTATTTACACCCTGTATACAAACTAAACTATATAAACGTTCTAATATTCAAACATCTATTCATTTGCCTTTTGGTGTTTAAAATAGTGTTTCTGGCGTATAAACCCTATATACTTATATTTCTACATCATACATTATGTTAGTGTGTTTATAGGAATCATTTTTATATATTTTCTCAGTTATATGAGGCTTTATATTTTTAACTGACTGAGAAAATTTTAAAAAATGGTTCTTTTTAATCCCTATATGCCTTTTATACTCGTGAATAACATAACATTAAGCATAATATTCCATCCCTTTCTAAAGATATTAAATTGTAAGGAACCATAACTGTAATATAAATGATTTTTTTTTCAAAAAAATACTTGTTTCATTTATTTTTAACCCATTATTTTTTATCCTACTGTTTTTTTTTATTTATTTCTTATATGTATATGTTTCTTTTTTATTTCACTACAGACATCTTGTGTCCATGTCAATCTAGACCACTTTCATTTATTTATTCTGTCCCTTTTTTCTTTGTTTTACGTTCGTTTTTCCCTTCTTTAGTCCAAGATCACCCAAGAGGAACAGATGGCCTACCAGGGTTTAGTGGAAAGTCCGACTCCAGAAGCCAGCCAGGTAAATCCATATACAGTGCGGCGCACCTCATTCAGCTCGGTGGATTATACGAAAACGGAAAGGTGTAGAAACAAAATAATTTATGGGTTGGTTAAAATTGTTTTGAAATATACAGGGCGTTTCAGAACTAAGATCCATACCAAAGTTATATTTTTCCTTATGGAACTCACCCGGTATTTTATTTCATTTTTCACACTAACCGGATAAAAATAAAAAAGGGAGTTAGGGAGGGCGATACCATGTCGCCAAAATTGTTTATTACTGTTCTTGAGCATGCATTCAAAATGCTTTGTTGGCAACAAAAAGGAATAGTTATCGATGGAGAGAGACTCAACCACCTACGCTTTGTGGATGATATCGTTATAGTGTCAGATAATCTGGGAGAGATCAAAGACATGCTTCAAGAACTTAACGATGCATTACACGAGATTGGACTAACAATAATTTTTGACAAGTCTAAGATAATGACTAATATGGTGCCCAGCGAACACATACAAATTCACAACAACAGAATAGAATTAGTCCACAAATATGTATACTTGGGCCATGAGATCAAAATAAGCAGAGATAACCAAACCTGTGAACTGGCTAGACGAATTTCCTTGGGATGGGCGGCTTACGGAAAAATGAGTGGCATCTTTAGAGCAAATATCCCAATACACCTGAAAAGAAAGGCATTTAACCAATGTATCCTCCCGGTTTTGACCTATGGCGCAGAGACACTCACTCTAACAAAAGGAACCGCAGAAAAATTGAGAGTGACACAGAGGCGGATGGAGAGATCTATGATTGGGCTGACTTTGAGAGATCGAGTAAGAAATGAAGAGATACGCCGACGTACGGGAGTGGATGACATTATCCAGCGAATCACAAAACAAAAGTGGAGATGGGCTGGACACATTGCTAGAATGGCAGACGGGAGATGGACCAAAGGCTTATAGAGTGGACAAGCGTAGCCAAGGCAGACCTCCCACCCGATGGACCGACGATCTGAAACGAATAACAACTAACTGGATTGCAACAGCTAAAAACCGCGAGAACTGGAGACGTTTGGAGGAGGCCTATGTTCAACTATGGACGTGAAAGGGGGCTACGTGATGATGATGATGATGATGATGTATATTTCGAAATAATTTTAATACATATACCCATAAAATATTTTGTTTCTACATCTTTCTGTTTTCGTATAATTAACCGAGGCGAATCAGGTGCGTCACCCCTGTATAAGATCTATAGTTCCTTCTCTCGCTGGACCTTATTTTTTTACTGTTAACTATACAAAATTCCAATGGCTATTTTCTTAGCTGATGGTCACAAATCCATTAAGAATGCTAAGAACTGGACAGCCTGTTATAACGACTCGCACAAGATCTGCAAGCCTGGCAACTAGTACATTGCCATCAAAGTTAAACGGGATAGCTAGGAGTTCTATTCCAGATAATTTACATGACAGACCAGGTATTGCATTTTTTTAAAGTAATATTACATGAATTTATATTTGAATATTTATTTTAGGTTCTTTCTCAACACTGCCGAAGAATATTAATACTCACACAGCTCACAGAACGTCATCCGTGCATCCTAGACTCCAAAATGACGCTTCTAAAGAGGAGAATCCTATACCTTTACCTCCTAGAGATAGGAATAAGACACTTTTGACAGCTAAACCGAGACATACGAGGAAACATCCGTTGATTATACCGCCTACTAGTGCACAAGGACGTTGGATAAGGTAAATACATTAAAAAAATACTAATATTATTATAAAGGGTCCAGCAAAAGTGTGTTGGGCGTCTGTAGCTACTATAATAAAAACTTAGGGAATTTTGTAGACCTAAAGTATGCACTAGAATTTTTTAGGAAAATATTTTTGTAACTTCCGCAGGGTGGTTCAAAAGGTTTGAGCGAATCGGGAGGTTCTTTTAAATGGAACACCCTGTATATTAATGCATTTTTTTGCAGCTGGCTTTATATAATCTTAAGATATTATTAAATTTGTTTTAATAGTTTCAGAGATATTCATAAAAAAGATATATTTTTCAACCTTTATTTAAAAAGAATTATTAAAAATACAAGAAATATCCTAAAATTAAAACAATACTAGGTATTTACTGTAATTGGTGTGTACTTACTTTGCAATAAATATCGTAATCTTAAATTATACAGGGTGTTCAAAATTTCAAACTCTCTAAAATATAAAATAATTTTTCTTCGTTTTTTTTTTGGAATTTTGAGTTACAGGGTGTTTCGTTTTCGGTAAAAATTATCCCGATCCACTCACACTTTTTAGCCATCCTGTAGAAGTAAAATATTTTCTTGAAATAGGCCCTAATATATACTTTAGATATGCACTCAAAAAAAATCCTAATTAAAAAGTATTCCTTTAATTAATTAATCACTAAGTATTCCTAATCAGAACCCATTCCTAATTAAAAATACTTCTAAATTATTTTTATAGGACTCGTTTTATACAGTAAAGTTTGTTTGTACTATTTGTCTGATTTTTTTTTCTCTTTTTTTAGGTTAATACAGTGTCTCCGTTAAACAAGACGTCTCCAGATCCTTTTCCCAGCCCTGTTGAGCCTGCCTATTCCAATGATGTCATGCAGATAGCTGAGAAAAATCCCGAATCTGTACATTTCGAAGAGCAGATTGAATCAAATCTAAACGCGTTGGATGACATTCATTCTGATCATGACGTAGTCGACGGTGGGGACTTCAAGAATGATGGGGAGAAGGTATGTCTTGAAGCATTTTTTTTTCTTTTTTATCTCGAATTCTCGAATGTTGTTAAAAATTACAAGATACAAAATCAATTATTGTCAGAATAAATCTGAATTTATAGGTACATAGTCATCATGTAAGTTGCGAAGATCTGCTGAAATTTGCCAATACGAAACCCAGCTCAAGGACCAGAGGAAACGACTCGGATGAAGTTAGGATTATGTCAAAAGTTTTGGGAAAAGAAGTAAGTATTAACAAGTAGTAGTGGGAACTATCGAAATATTCGATAGTTGCAATTCATTCGAATAATTCGATAGCTAGTAAGAAAACATTCGTCGAAAACTATTCGAATAAAAATTATCGAATAGACGCGTCATCTGCCTTGAAATATTGTATTCTAGTAATTCGGCAGCAAAAACCATTCATTTATAAAATTCATTTATTTGTCAGGATCGGTTATAATAAAATAT